TTACTTGCCTCACATACTGGCCCGGAATCCTCCCTGCCTCCCTGCTATACTTTACCCTAAAAGATTTGTACTGGCTTCCTTTTGGGTAAAGACTTCCTCTTTGGTAAACCCTCAGGGTTAACTCCCTCACCTCCTGAGGTACAGAGCCACACTTTAGCTCACTGCAACCCCTCTTTGAAGTGACTTTATCCCTTCAGCTCCCCTGCATTTTAATGCCCCTAGAGCATTTATCACCTTCTAATATTCACAATTACATGTCATGTGTCTTCCTTTTTAATTCCTAACCTTTCTAAATTATTGTTTACTCCAGTTTCCTTAATCTGAACATAGAATTAAACACTCAGTAAGCATTAGTTGAATTAACAAATGAATTTTCTTCTATTGATAAACTTTATTGAACAAATACAGAGAAGTGCACAAAATTTAAGCTGTAGTTGGTTTGCTTGTCTCTCTATTCTTCCCCTCTTCTCTTTCATTCCTTCTTACTCTTCCTGTCCCTCTCCTCTTCCTCTTCTCTCCTTCTCCATTGTAACAGTAACTAAAACAATATTTGCTGACCTAAGAGCATTGAGGACTTGCATTTAGGAGAAAGTTAGAACAATTTTATTTGAATTATAATTTTATTGATACATGTTTGTAGAAGGTAATGACTGTATTTGTAGTGGGAAACTTGGTGTATATACAAAGCACATCTTTATCCTTTTCATGTCCATTTCACCTCTCCTGTCCCCTTTTCTCCATCTCTTAGCCATCTTCCTGTTTAATAAATGAATTTTTATGTAATATAAGTTTACAATAATGTACATGCACACACATAATCGATAATTTTTGCTTGTCTATGAGAGCTCATTGAGTTTAAACAGAATTTCAGAAATACTTCTAAATTCCTACACCTAAGTGTGTAATACTTGGGTAGGGTTCGAGTCATATGGGGAATAAGTTTAAAGGGAAAGTTTATGTTGGTGATACCAGTAAGTGTACTACCCTCAAATAGGTAGTCTCAGGACTGGATTACAGTTTTCAGGGGAAATGTGGCACATATATATTAAATTTTTTTAAAAGGTTAGAAATTATTATGTCTGAATACTATGAAAAAAAATAGTAAATCATTGTGTAAGTCGAAAAGGGCTATCATACTGGTGAGTTTGACCAGTTGAGTAGTCTAGAAATAGCATTTGTTCCCTAAGTGAACTAAAGGCCGTGAATACACTACTGTATTAGGTTGTCAGGCTAAGGTTAACTTATGTTTGTTGGACAAATGCATCCTCCACCAAAAGTACTTTGGCTGTTGTCTAGTTGATAGTTTCTTTGCCATGCTTTTCCTAGAAAAGCACATTAACATAGAGGAAAACATATATGTTGAAGAAATGACATTCATTATAATTCTGTTACACTTTGGAATAAGAGAGATCCTTTCTTCCAAAAAGCTAATTTTGAAACTACAAATTTATCAATCTTTTTTTCTTCTCTGATTGATTTTAATAACCAAGTTTAATAAATGCTGAAAACCAGGGCAAGAAAGATAATATGGCTTCAACAGAATCACATTGGTGTATGGTAGAGGTGCCAAGAAAAGTACGCAGATATTCAGTATATCATCCAATGTGGAGCTATGTTGAAGGTTCTCTTCTTGTCACTCATCTCAGTTCTTACCCAATGGAAAGGAAATAGATATATTTATAATTTAATCAGGGGTTTTTCCTTTCAATTAAAAGATGAGAAAGTGGATGAAGCAGTTTCAGACCTGTAGCTACTAAAATAATTTTATGTGTCTCTGACAGTTGTATTGGTGAGCATACATGCAGTGGAGCACCACTGTAATCTCAGCTACTTAGGAGGCTGAGGCAGGAGATAGCAAGTTGGAGGCCAGCAGGGCAGTTTAGTGAGACCTTTTCTCAAATTTTTAAAAAGGCCTGGGGAAGTAATTCATTTACGCAACACTTAACCTAACACTAGGGTTCAGCCCCTAGCCTTGCAGTCAATCAGTCAATCAGTTCAAATACCATGACTGTGAAAGGAACACTAATTTTACAGCAGATAAAAGTGAAGAAAAAGAAATAAAGGAACCCTGGACTGGAAAGGGGAAGAGCAACATGATTGTATGTAGCTTGAGTAGGAGTAGAAGGGAGAAATCTATTTAATTTTGGCCTGCTGGAACTAGCAGAGATTGTCCTACCAACTCAGCAGAAAAGTAACTTTAAGGGGGTAATAGCAGCTGTCATTTCTGCTTGCAGATTGAAAGTTAAAGGTAGCAGGACCAGTTTAGTATGCAGAGCTGCTTGTGACTAATCCAGCAGATTGTCCATCTTGTTCTTGCTAAAGCATACTCTATTTGTAAGACTACTGGTTTTTAGGGGATGAATCTTCTGAGTACCAAAGAATCTGGGTAATTCAAAGATCTCATCTGTGTCAAAAGATACATTGCATTGTTGTGTAGGGTTGAGAAATCAACATCATATAAAGTAATCCTCTTCATTGCTTGGCTACATTACTTTTCTTTTCTCTCTTCAGTGTCAGTCATTCAATCTTAAAAATAGTTTCAGGGGCTGGGGATTTAGCTCAGTGGCATAAGCGCCTGCCTTTCAAGCAGGCAGTTGTGAGTTCGATCCCTGGTACCGATAAAAACGAATAAAGACCAAAAAAAAAAAAAATAGTTTCATTTCTTTTTTCTAGACACAATAACATCCCAAAAGCTACAACAGAGTTGTGATTTTTTTCCATGATCAGAAAGAAAATAGAGGTAATATCATGTTTATTAGTTTTAAATGTGATTGCTCACTTTAGTTAGCATAATTTTCAAAAAGATAAAGCATTGAGTTCCTATACCTGAAAATTACCGTTTGATGATTGGAAAACAAGTGAAGAAATGAGTTCTAATTTTTTTCCTTAGCCAGAGCATTGCATATTAAAGAAACTGTTAACTAGAGTATTTTATCCTAGATAATGAAATTTACTTTTTTGTCAGTTTGGGCTCACTGTCAATTACTGAAAGACTAAAATATCTTGTGTTGTAATATCCAGTATCTTTTTTAAATTTGATACAAGGTCACAGTACCTTTATAGATAATTATTGGAAAAAAAGATGAAGTTTCTTCCAACTTTACCAGCTCTTTGCTCCACTTGCCTTGCCCCCATTATAGAATAATCGCACTTGAATATTATTCAAGTGAAGTTGTAGGCTTGAAGTTTGAAGGTCTGGCTGTTGTGTGTTCCTACAAACTGATTTGCTTAAGTTCCTCCATGTCATTCCACTGAATCTGAGCTAATTAAGACTGCTGTTTTTCAGTGATGAGCATTAGAAGTCGTGTGTGCCTAATTTTGAAAATGGTTTTGTACATTAAGGCTCATTTACCCACTAGTGGTCAGAGAAAAGTTGAGACTTACAATTACTGGTCCTAATTTTAAAATGCAGTAATAGCATGGAACTCAGCTCAAGCTCAGGCATATAAGATGTGATGTCAACTTCTCAGTCTTTAGGGATGTTACAATTTAGCTCATGTCTTACTAGTCAAGTTGTCACAGAAGATGTGTTTAGTCATGGAAAGAAAATCAGTGTCCAACATGCAAACAGTAATAAGGTAATTGGGTTTTCACGGGATGAGGGGGATTGATTTGTGTGCATTCCTGGGTCTGTATAAAATGGTGTCCTTTAAGCTCTAGCTGAATATAAATCTCAATAAATGTTTTTTCTTGCTGCAGATTAGTGTAATACAGTGATGTTTTCTGTAACTAAAGGGAGACAGTGGTTGGACATCTGTTAATAGCCTGAAAGTAACTAATGAGGATGATGTGTAGTCCGAACGATTGATTGAATGAATAGCTGCAGTCCTGTGTGTTTCTTTCTCACTTGCTCTCTCTGTCTGCAAGCTGTAGGGAGGGAGGGGGAAGAGCAAGACAGGGAGGGAGCGAGAGGAAAAACGCTTTCTCTTAAGTGGAAGTAGCACGGATCCCAGGGGCCAGGAGGCCAGAAATGGAAGTTTAAACTGCATCTATCTTAAAGGGAGAACAGCAGGAATCAAAATGTCAGACTCCGGAGTCACGATTTACACCTTATTTTTTAAGATCTGGAAGATAACACAGAATACTTTTTTTAGAATGTGGGTTTTTTTTTTCTTGTCCATGTCGAGATTATCTAATGTTGTCTGAGAAGCTGGATTCCTATATGTCTGTCACTTGAAGTGGAGATGGGAAGCAGTTGTGATAAAGGTATAATATGTGTATATTTATCATCTGTATTTGCGTATGTATGTGCATATATATGTGTGTATATATATATCACTCTGGAAAAATCTTAAAATGTAGTCTTAATACAGTTTATAGTAATTAGAGAGCAGTACATCATCTGTAAAACCTTAAGCTCATTAGGTCAGTTTGAACAAATTTAAGATTCCAGAGTAAGATTTTAGTAAGGTCATATTGCCAGAACAAGGAGAAGCTGATCTATTTTTATATCTGCATAAGCATATATATTATTTTTTGCTGGCAGCAGCTTTCAGTCTTCTCAATGGCCCTTTTGTTGCAGTCTGGTGAATCATCTTATCTGCACAGATCCGAACTTTGACCTTTGTGCAAACATATATCAAATCATGCATAACAGTAAACTATATTTTGTTCATAAGAATTTTAGAAATTTCTTTTGATTCTGTTAACTCTTCCATTGCTGACCTAGATACAAGGTGCAGATATTAAGCAAACTTAAAGATACTAATCACAATTCAGAGGAAATTATTTCTATGTGTACACATTTAAAGATGTAAGTTGTCACATGAAAGCAGATTCTTAACTTTGACCAAGTCTCCCTAATGTCTCTATATACGTCAGACACCACAAAGATAGGGGCAAATTATATCAAGAGGGAATGTAATACACCTTTAAAACAAATGGATTTTTAAAATTTTTATTTATTGACTTATTTTTGTGAAAAAACAATAACTTTACATTTTTGTGAAAGATCTTCAATTTTGGGTGCTCAACAGTGTTTAAACTTTCCTCCTTTCCAGAGGTACCAGCAGAGAGGTCCCCCCGTAGACGGAGTATCTCAGGGACCAGTACATCAGAGAAACCCAGTTCCATGGACACTGCAAATACCTCACCCTTCAAAGTACCAGTAAGTATTTCTTTTCCGTAGAAGAATATTTTACTTTTCTCTTTTCTTAGAAGAAACTCCTCAGGAGTTTCCTTGCAATCCTGAAGCTAAAGGACAGAGTTATCAGTTTATACAGATTAACTTGTTAATGACCACTACTTTCAGTATAAGGCTTATTTAATTTTAGAGACTGTTAAACTAAGTATATTACATTTGAATTCCTATCAACTATAGAGTATAAATCTTTGCAGATGTCCTTTTATCAGTGTTGCTAGCTAAAACCTATCACAGTTATATGAGGATACTGGTAGGATTTTTTTTTTTCTTTTGGTCTTTTTTGGTTTTTTATCGGTACCAGGGATCAAACTCAGGACTGCTTGCTTGCAAGGCAGGCGCTTATGCCGCTGAGCTAAATCCCCAGCCCCACTGGTAGGACGTTTTAGGGATTTTTTTTTCCAGTGGTAGATCATAAGCAGAGTAGTGAGACTCATAAAGTTGCAGAGCAAATGTACAGAGAATTAGACAGTCGTGAATTCTAATCCTGAGAACTGGCTTGTGTTTTTGCCTAAGTGATCTTTCAGAGTCAGTGGTTTATTTTTATTTTTATTTTATTTTATTTTTTGTCTTTTTCTTTTTTATCGGTACTGGGGATCGAACTCACGACTGCCTGCATGCAAGGCAGGTGCTTATGCCACTGAGCTAAATCCCCAGTCCCTAGAGTCAGTGTTTAAGTGTTTAAGAAATACCCAGAAAGAAGATAATGCTTTAAACGGATCAGACAATACTGAGAATCAACTTACAGCACAAAAGTATGCTGGATGGAAGGGTATAGATGATCAGGTCAGCTGGCCAGTAGATGGAGGCCTGGTTTTGGATCTTTGTGGTGTAACTCTAAGTAACCTGATTTTAAGTCATCTCTTTTCTTTGTTTGTTGGGCAAGAAATATATTTACTTCTTAAATGTATACTAAAATTTGTACTTGAACTATTTCAAAAGATTGGTCATTATTCTAGGTAAAATTTAAAAAGTCAGCGTAAAGTAGAAATAAGCATTTCTATTTGGGAAAAAGTTTTTCTTTTTCTTTTTTTTTTTTTTTTTTTGTCTTTTTTGTTTAGTGGCTTTTTTTTTTTTTTTTAATTCAGCTCAGTTACATGGTATATTCTCAATTTCTTTATTCTAGTACTTTTCTAAGTTGGAATGACCTTTTAAATTTAACTGACTTTTTGAAGTATATAAACTGACTTTTACATACAAGTTAAAATTACTGTTTTATTTTGTATTTACCACAGGCAACACAATTTTCCCTTCTTTTACCTTAGGGGCATATACATTTTGTGCTTATCTGATGCTCTTGTGATATCCTACAAAGTTTTATAAATTCTCTCATTTTTAAAGATCACAAGCAGTGTTGGATTAATAATCTCATCAAATTATCACAAGAATTGTAAAACATCATATTTAGTGCCTTATAATAAATTTTGTTTCATGGACATAGCAACCTGTATTTTATTTTCTTCATGTATGAGAAGAGCATTTTTTTTCCTTTCCCCTACTTTTCCTGTTTTCCTGATGAAGCAGATAACGAATATGAAGCTATCCAAACACAGAGTTTAATCATATACTAGTTAAATTTAAGAATCAGTCAGAGGGAACATGGGTATGGCTTAGCAACACAGCAACTGCCTGACATGCACGAGGTCCTGAGTTTGAGTCCTGGTACCAAAAAAAGAGAGAGAGAGAGAGATTCAGTTAGAATTTGGTATTTTCACACCATTATGCTAGAAATAAATGGTAAATTTTTTTAAAGTTAATAAATGAAGAAGAATGTTTATCTGCAATATGGTGACATTGAAGTATGTCCCATACTAACTATGAAGTTTATGATCAGGCTTTTAAACTTTTGGATTAATTACAAACTACAGTTTTTATTTATTTAAACAATAAATTGACAATTGAGATTTATCTTAGTAAAACTAATCATTCTTGAGTAAAAATTACAGCACAATAATGTGCATATATGTGAAAGGTAGCAAGCACTGCTTTAAAACCATGTATCCATTTACTAGTCTTAAAAATAATGAGGAAAGAAGCAAGATGTGGTGGCACATGGCCTATAGTCCTAACACTTTGGGACGTTGAGGCAGGAGAATTGCAAGTCTGAGGCCAGTCTAGGCAACTTAACCACTTAGCAAACCCCTCCTCAAAATAAATAAAACAAGGCCAGTGCAAAGGCCCTGGGTCAGTCCTAGGACTGCAAAAAAATGAAACAGGAAAGGAAAGAGCTTGTGACCAGCAAATTGCAGTCACAAAGTCCATGCACTTAACTTTCTGGAAGAATCTAACTATTAACAGGTCCTAACGTGGTTTTCTGAAAAATAACCATCTGAACACAGTAATTAAAAGAAGAAGGAGGGGGAAAGTCAGTGAGTAGGGGGAGGAAATAGAGAAAATGGAAGACAGAGAATCATAAAAATAATCTGAATTCATTTAGTACAAGGGCATATAGCTTTATGTTTATTAATAACCCTTAAGGATACCACTGTATTTTGGGATACTGCATAGTATAGAAAGCAACATTGTTAATAATGATCCTGAATCATTAGGAGAAGGTGGCAAGAAAACAAAAATATGCTAGCTGAATGAGGCACTACAGTGCTTGCTTAGATGTCTGTAGAAGTACACCTCCATTTTTTTAGTTTCCATATAACATCAGTAGTTAATGTAACTTACTTAGATATATTTCTAATTAGAAGTATGAAATATTTTAATAGCAGTAGACTCTTGAGTATGGGAAAATGATGCAAAGACAACCAAACTTTAAAGTATTTAACTTTATGCTGTTTATGCAGTATTTTGAAGATCATTTCCATATTAATTTTACAAAGAGAAAGAAGTGATATTTCAGCACAAGTACTCATGGTTCTAAGATGCAGATTTTGTTAGTTGGTGAACACTAGGTCCACTATTCATCAAGTGTCCTCCCAAAAGAAGTACTAGTATACCCTCAAAAGGGCCTTATTCTTCCGAACTCCATTTTCAGACTTGCTGAGAGCAGGTGAAATAGATTTTAACGTGTCTTGACTGAAATTATTCATGCATTTATTGGGTGCTTGCTTTAAGCAAAGTATTCATGATTCACTAGTTACTGATACATTCTTTGTGTGCTGTATTTTGTACGAGGGATACAAATAAAAACAGAGTTTTCTACTCCCATAGAGCTTGTGATCTGGTAACAGGAGAGACAAAAATGATGAGATTGATACAAGAGTTGAAATACAAGTTATTAACAATACAGTGTGTAAGCTAAGGTTTGCCAAGGAATAATATTTGTGCTAGGTTCAAAAGCTGAAGGAAAGTAATTGACAGAGAAGTAGAGTATATCAGCCTGAGAAAATAGCATTTTAGATGCTTGCAGGGAATATGGAATGGACTTAGTGAGACGGAATTTTAAAAGTATGTGGGCAATGGCAAGCAGAGAGATAGGTTGAGGCAAGACTGGGAATGAGTTTATCAAGACTAACTAAATCACACTGCCCAATAAAATGTTAGTGAATGTTTGTCTTTGACTCAAAAGCTAAACCAGTTGTATAAGTACTACGAAATATTGGTAAATTTCTTGACTTTTTCTTAAGTGATTCCATTTTCCTCTTGGTGTCATAGTCACAGCTCCGGTTGATAAATAAGTGTTCATTAGTAGAGGGCCAGCACAGGGACTAGGAATGCAGCTCAGTAGTTGAGGGTATGCTTAGCATAGGTAGGCACTGGCTTTCATCATTAGCATCCACAAATAAATAAGTAGTAAATATGGCCAGCCTAGCATAAACACTTGGGTGTGTGTGTGTGTGCACTCTTCAGCTGACATTACTGATATTTCTAGAATAGTGATTTTTACTTTGGGAAGATCCAGGAGAAATCAGGGGTTTTTTTGTTTTTGTTTTTGTCTTTTTCGTTTTTATTGGTACCAGGGATCGAACTCACGACTGCCTGCTTGCAAGGCAGGAGCTTATGCCGCTGAGCTAAGTCCCCAGCCCCCTGAGAAGTCAGTTTTTTGATATCCTGTTGGTAGGTTGATTGGCACCAGAAAAGACAGAATAACTGTGAGCTCAAAGGAGGAAAGCCCAAAATCTTTGTGTGTCTTCTTCATAAAGTTATACTTCTAAAAACTTAAAATGGTAACTAACACAGCAGAATGTCCATAAGGGCATAAGAAATGAGAGAGGAAAAGGAAACTTGTAAGTCTAAGGAATCTATTGCTTAAGGGGCGGTCTTGGGTTTTAGGAATATTTAAATATGTTTTTGTCTTTAATAATAGCCATAAGAAGAAAATGGTGATCTTTAGAATAGTTGTTCTGTTCTTGCTCCATTCTCATTCCATATTTCTGAATACGTACCTTAAATCCAACTACAATTATTTGTTGGTAGGTTTTTGTCCCTCATTAGATAATGTCTAATTATCTTTGGAACACCCCAGATGTCTAATAAAGTACTTTATACATGGTAAACACTCAAGAAATAATTGTGAAATGAATAAAATATGCATGAGTTATGGAATTATCCAAATAAAATGAGTTTACCTCATACTTACTCTCTTGGTGTTATTGAAATACCTCTTGTTAAATGGAATAATAAATATTTAATAATGCTGAAGAAGTATTTAATAAGAGATTATTTGGAATAATTATCCTGTGTAGAATTGTTATATCTTTTCTCAACAAAAAGAAATTTTAATTAACATTGGAATTTAGAGCTATGGTATTTTATGTCTGTATACTGTGTCTATTTATATTGGAGACTTTGAACTGGCAAAATTCTTCACTTAATAGTTTGCTTCTAGGAATATTTTTTGACCCTTTCAGTATTATACACATAAATGTGCTCACAATATTTTTGCAACTGTGAGTTTTGACTATTGGATTCTCCAACAACTATTGTTAATTATTTGAATAGTTTTCGCCATTCAAAAGATCATGCTTTTTTGTTTCCTTTTACACCTTATTAGACTTTTTGCCTTTGTATGTACTTGGTGTTTTTCTTTAAATGAAACATTCTTCACATATTTTATACATTGCTAAAATACATTTAAATTATTTTACACAGGTGAAGAACCCTTGATTTATCTCAGTTATTCAGGGACTGAATTTAATTCAGAAAAGGAAAATGGTTATGTCTTATAATTCTGTATACTTATCTCACAGTGTCTGAACTTTCAGAACAGACTTCCTCATACTCCACTTATAAAACGACTGCTGATATTTATGAAGTTTGTATCACTTCCATGTCAATGGTACCATCAATTTGGCTTTGGCTAAGGCCTAGCTACTTGTATTCTGGGCCAGGTGCCCAGCTTAGTGTTCTCATCTCCATAACACATTGGTCCCAGTTGGCCTGCAGTGTGAATATAACATAATGCAGCCACAGCTGCTTCATTTGTATTATCTTTGAGCTGAAAGAATTCAGGCACTACAAAATATGCCAAGACAACCAGAAAGCATAGCTGAATTAAGGGAGTAGCTGAATATTCCTGGGTAATCCTCCTGTGTAAACTGAGCATTCCCACTCCAAGACTGTCAAAAGTCAAAAACTTTATAGAAAAAAGTAAAAGTCTAGAAAATAAACTATAAATGATGTTATAAAGTCTTGCAAAAAATTATGCCCTTTCTCAAGTATTAAGGTATGAGGCTCAGTTAGTATTGATCCCTTTTTGAATAGAATCTCCTTCAAGATATGTATAAATGCTTTTCCAAGCTAAGTATAATCAGAGCTTCATGCCCACATAGTAGAGACCAGAAGGTTTCCTATCCAAACTGGTGATTTCATCTCTAGCTACACATAAAAATCACTTTAAGGAACTTCAAAAAGTAAACTTACAAGCCACCTTAGACCATATAAATCATAACCTCTGTTGTAGAGCCCAGTCTATTGCTTAGTGTTTTTTTCTGTTTTTCTTTTTCCTCTTTAGACAGAGTTTAAGTCTCCAAGTTTTCCAGACTGGGCTCAAACTTGTCATCCTCCTGTACAGCCTCTCAAAGTACTGAGATTTCAGATGTACACTGTCACACCTGTTCTCTTTTATATCTTTAAACAGGTTTTCAGATATTTCTAATACGTGACATAGGATTGAGAGCTGTCTTAATGGAAAAATATTAGAAACTCACTTTAATGTCTTACCTGTAAACACCAATGCTTCTTTTTATCTTGAAGTCTGACATAAGAAACCAGCAATTTTTTTCCAGTGGCCTGTTGTTACATATGAATTGTTATACTGCATATTAGTTGCTTATCTGTGTTTGCTATGGTCAGTTCAGATTACCAGTTTAAATTTATGAAATGCTTCTTTGCTGTGACAAAGTGACCTGTGACCAGCTAAGAATCTTAGGGGTAAAATAATGAAATTGAATTGATAGCATCCAAGCTGTAAAACTATTTCAATTTTTGTATTTTCATTGCTACCGTATTCCAGAACAACACTTAAAATTATTTCCCCTGATGTTTAAAGATTCTGAATTCATCTTTTCTCCTTCTCTTCGCTGACCATCTATGATGAGTTAAAGTCCTTAAAAGAATCATTCTACAGTGATCTTTCTTTTAGTAAAGAGTATATTTGTATTCACATGTTTATAAGTATATGTAATACACAAATATATATTCATATTACCTATCAACATATTATCACCAGAGGTAGAAATAATATAATAACCATAGGAATGTCAGAAAAGAAAAAATTATGGCCTGAAGAAATTAAATATTAACTATACTTTTAAATCATTTTGTAATCAAAGTTGGTACTTGATGATAAATGTGCTAGAAAATATATAATTTAGAACTCTAATAGCCTTAGAGCAGAGAAAGAAAAGAATAAGGTCAGATGCAATCCCTTAAAGGGACAGAATGGGGACTGGCAAATACCTAAAAGAAAAGGGAGCAGGTTTAGCAGAAATTATTGCTGAGAATTTTACTTGAAAGAATCAGAGTAAAGATAACTCTCCTTAATCTGCAATAATCCCTAGAAATAGGTTTGCTGCAGTGCTGACTTTAGATTCTAGTTTATCTTACCCAAGGGAAGAGAGCTCTGAGAAAATGGGATACCCTCACTTAAAGCTCACTCATATATAAAACACTAAAAGCCCCTCTCTGTTCTAAGCAAGGGTGTTTCTTCTTGGTTTTTATGGGGGAAGGGCAGTACATCACTTTTCAGTTCAGACTTAGGGATAAATGTTTCCAAGGGCGAATAAAGCCTGCTTAAGGGGGCCTATAACTAGCCGATAAATATAGGTGACATATACAGCTCCTATCAGATGCTTTTCTGTCTCACAGCAAGTTCAGAAGCTAGAAATATATAAAGAAAATTTTTACTACTTCTTGATTTTGCTAGGGTTAGCTGTGCAAAGATTGTTTCGTTGTTGTTCATTTTTTTCCTCCTTCCTGAATATACTCAGTAAGATGCAAGCCTTGATAGTAAACAGTAAGAGTTCTGAAATGCCTTCCCACTGTAAATCCCTTTAATTCTGTAATCAGTACTAGTACCATTCATCTGGGTTTTCAAATGCTTTTTGTTTTACATTTTATTTTATTTATTTATTTGTTTGTTTGTTTGTCTTTTTCCTTTTTATCGGTACCGGGGATCAAACTCACGACTACCTGCTTGCAAGGCAGGCACTTATGCCGCTGAACTAAATCCCTAGCCCTTACATTTTATTTTAAAGGAACTTCATTACACTGGGATCACTGAATTAAAAAATCACTATGATTTTTGGTCAGGATAATTTAATGTAATACTTTTGATTTATCAGCTGAAAATTATGTAAGTATTTTTCAAATATAACAAATTTTAAGATAAATATAAAAACATAAAAGGAAATTAAGTAAACAGATATGCTAGTCGTATATTGACTCAGCAAAACTTGTATTTGACTATTCAATTTGTACTTTAAACAAGGACTACAGTGATCACATGATAAGAAAAAGCAGTTGGCTAACAACAACTAGGAGTTCTTAATACAAAGTTCACTAAATGAAGCACCTAACTATGTAAGGCAACAACATGAAACTAAAGGGAAAATCATAGATCTGTGAGTATTACTGAAAATTTCAAAACACCTCCTTCAGTAATTAACATCTAAAGAAGGGAGAAAAATCTATAACAGAACACTTAAAATCAGTAGTACCATGCCTCAAAAGGAGCATTGTACTGTATGCAAAAACTATAGAGTACACAGTCTCAAAATCATGAGAAATGGTCACCCAAACAGGTCAGAATATTTAGTAACTGATAAAAGAAAAGTTTCCAAAAGGATTTTAAATACTTACTCAAAAGAGGTAAACAGATGGCCAATACATACATGAAAAGATCCTGGTATTACTAGTCATTGGGGAAATACGAAACTATGAGATAACCCTTGATACTGACGTGGCTGTAATAAAAAGAGGATCATTAATATGTGTAGGTAGAAACAAACTCGAGTACTGCTGATAAGAATGTAAAATGATGCAGCCCCTTTAAAAAACATTTAGCAATTTCTCAAAAGGTTAAACAATTTTCATATGATCTAGCAATTGTTTTTCTAGGAATGTACATAAGAAAATGTATGTGCACACAAAATTAAATGACTCTTCATACTATGATTATTCATAGTAGCTAGAAGTAGACACAATCCAAATGTCCATTAACTGAGAAACAAGATATTAAAAAATATAATCTACTCATATAATGATATATTATTTAGCCATAACAAGGAATGAGATAGTGATACAATACATTCTACAACATGAACGAACCTTCAAAAATGCTAAGTAAAAGAACCTAGACACAAAATACCACTTATTATATGGCCACACTAACATGAAATGTCTATAACAGGAAAATCTACAGAGACAGAAAAACATTGGTGGCTGTGGTGAGCTGATGTATGGGAGAACAGGAATTGTCTGCTAATGGGTGTGAAGTTTCTTTTGAAGTAATAAAAATGTTCTAGAATTAGAATATAGTAATGCTTGCACAACTATTTACACAAAAACACTGAATTGTACACCTTAAGAATCAATGTTAGGGCATATGAATTTTATCTTGAGGCAACTAAAAAAACACTAGACTTAGAAAGCTTAGGGTGAACACATAAAATCTTATTAAAACGTTAACATTCATTACAAATTGAGTTCTTTTAGATAGATTAAATAAAATGTATTTGAGGAGCGAGGTGGAAACACCAAAATACATTTTATATTGGCTACTTACTTACTGTAAAATTTTTCAAGGTTGTCTACTGATGATTTGCATTTTTATTTAAACTACCATAATTTTTACCTTCAATAAGGTATACTACATACTTTCATTAAAAGATGTGAAAATAGCATAACATTTAGTTTAAAAAGAAAAAATGAATTATAGCTGTGTCAGACATGTAGAATTTTTTTTCAATTTTTCCAAATTATCAACAAATTTTCATATCTTAAAAATTAGTCATGTCTTTATGTAATATATATACTTCATAATTTCTTCTGTAAGTTCATGACCACTACACAGTTTGACTTTTTTCACTTTGTAAATAATCTGCCTCTATTATAAAACTTTTTGTATGTGGCCTGATGAATGGTATGATGATCTCGTATTAGAAGACTTTTTTTTTTACTTTTTTTTTTTTTTTTTTTTTTTTTTTTTTTTGTCTTTTTCCTTTTTATCGGGACCAGGGATCAAACTCACGACTGCCTGCTTGCAAGGCAGGCGCTTATGCCGCTGAGCTAAATCTCCAGCCCCCCCCCCACCTTTTTTTTAACTTTTGTATAGCAATGAATGAATGACCAACAGATCAGAAAATACAAAGAGCTGGTGCTTTGGCAAAGTCTGTACATTCTACTAAGGCTTGGTTCTGATAGCCCATAGTAATTTTAAACTCAGCTTGCCCCAAAATGAATCTACTTATGTCTTCTACCAATACTTTTCCTCTTTTAACTTCTAACCTTATAGAACTGCAGATTTCTTCAGTTCCTAGAGCCAAAAGCCCCAAAGGTCATAATACACTGTTCTCTCTTTCACAAAGTCAGTCACCAGGTCTTCTTTACCACTCTGTTTATCCATCCCTCTTTTCCAGCCCCAGTAAAATTAACTGATTTCATTTATTAGTGCTTGTTATACCTTCCATGAAGCAGTACCAAGGCTAACTTTGTGAATTTGAGGCCAGTGCAGAACTAGGTGCTGTGCTCAGAAAATCCTATACACGGCGTTCAGTGGTTGCTATATTGAAATCCTTAACAACTGATCTTTGGATTTTTTATGAGTGAAATTCAGTGGGACAAGGAACATGCATGGGGACCTAGGACCAACAGAGGCTTATGTGGCCCACTGCTGCCCTGGGATGGATTCTCCCCTGTCCACTTCCTGCCTGCCTCCTTTTCTCCTCTTCACCCCACCACAGCTGTTATTCTGTGACCCCGGCGAGGACCTTTATACAGCATGAGGGATTAGATTGCACATTCTATGGTGTCTTTGAGCAGAACTCAGAGCAGCAGTCCTGTCAATGTTGGGAATGTCTGGTGTGTAGCCAGATGCCACCACTCGGATAAAAATAGCCTCAGGTTACCTAGTGAATTGCTAGGAAAAAACCTCTCTTAACTTCCCTGCCCTGAGTCAAGGTATGGTGTGCAGATTTGGTGACTGGCAAAGGGGAACCTGGCAAGGACTGGGTCTGGGTTTGGGCCCTAGACATCTGCACAGGCCTCCACTTCCCTTAAATATCCTGGATACCCAAGAGGGTGTGATGTTATATAGCAATTAGAAATCACCGTGGCAGGTGGCAAGACTGGGAAAAGGAGTAAGTATTCTGTTATACTATCTTTAGTATCATTGTTTTCCTGATTTTTTGAACAGTTGCCTCTGCATCTTCATTTTGCACGGAGCCCCTCTAATTGTACTGTGCGACTTGGTGGTGCAGTAGAAACTCTCAAGTCCTCTCCTGGCCTCCAGTACCTGCTCTCACCCTTTAGCCTTCATACTGCTACCAGAGTGGTTCTGTTAAAATCTAAGCCTCATCATTACTTGTCTCCCTTCTGTTTAAAGCTTTTGAATGGTTTTCTACAATCCCATGTCCCTGAACATGACCAAATTTTACACATTTTACTTGGCTTACACAGTGAATTCTTTCTCTTTTCTGCACATCTCCTCCCCTCCTTCTGTGCCTCTTTTGAATGTGTTGGATAGAAGTAACTTTTTTTCAAAAATCATTGAAAATCATTTTCCTGATGAAGCCTTTTTAGCTGAGCTCCTGGTAGAGGATAATAAATAAAACAGGTAACTCTTCCAGAGTGTTTCTTTGTCTTTTGCCGGCTCTGATTTACCAATACCCAGTATTTCCTTCTTCACCTCCAGCACTCTACGTCCCGTGTCCATCTTTATCATCACTATGATTTCTCCAAACAAGTTTTCTCAGGTCCTTACATAGTAATGCCTAGGAAATCCACCTTCCAACCATCCTAAAAGTGTTCTTATGTTTTAAAAATAGCTGCAGTGTCTGCTTATCTCTTTTAGAGACAACATTAGGTTTGGCCCTCTCGGTCTTTCCAATGGAATATGCAGTGTATTTATCCATTGTAGCACTGATACTATTGTAGGGCTACTATTTGTATAATAGCTATATTTGCTGGTCTGTGATATTCTAGGTGATGGTATCCAGAATGGGCTGCATATTCCTCAGAGGACACACCTACAATCCACTTGGTGTGCAGAAAGAGCATATTAAATGTTTAATTTGTTATTTCACCATTTTAAAAGTTTTGTTATTAAATATTTAATAATTGTACATCATAACATTTTTATATTTTATAAGTAAACCTATTAAGAATGCAAAAATCTAGGATTTGAAGGTCCATTCAATCCAGCTTCTCTCCTCCTAGATATTTTCCCAAAAAAATTGAAAAGGTCATGTCACAACAATATATGTGTATCCATGTTTATAGCAGTTCAATTTGTAATAGCTAAATCTTGGAAACAACCAAAATACCCATCAACCACAGACTGGATGAAAAAGATGTGATAATTTTATATAATGGAATATTACTCAGCTATAAAAAAGATGATCTTGAGGCTTTCATAGGTAAATGGAGACAACTTGAAACTATCCTCATAAGTGAAATAAATGAGATTGACAGTTTAGAAACCACTCTTCTTAAAGACACAAACTATGTCTTATTCACATTGTAGCTCAGCACTGATTTTTTTCTTTATGCCTATGAAAACTTAAGTGGATAAATGGCATTTGTTATTATCCAAAGTATACAAATTGCAAAGACATAAACCTCATATATCATAATAGCTTCTTGATCAACTAGTAGTTATGAGTTAATCAACACTGTAAACTTTTTAAAATTCTACAATTAATTCATTAGGTGAAATAAAATTAAGAATGGAATGCAGTAAGTGGAAGGAATTTCCTTTCTGTGGAAGCCTTGTGAGAATAATGACAAAGAATGAGTCATAGGAACTTTCTTAGATATTTGTTTCTCATTGAAGGTATAATTGACTACGTCAAAATGTGATCTGCTTCTCAACTCTATAATAAAATGTTAAATTGGTTGGGGGAGCAGAAGCATTGGTCAAACGGATATCTGGGATGTCTGGGCTCATGACTTACCCATTTGAGACCAGAAGCACATTTCCATGGAAATCAGATTGCCATTTTTAAAATTCACACATTCACCATACTTTCCATCATATTTCATATTTCTGCCTTCTTTCGTTCATTTGTTCAAAAATATATCCTGATAGATACCCATAAATTTATTGTCCACATTATCCTTTTGCTTTCCACTATGCATATTATGAATTTTAGGTGTATTTCTTATCACCAGAGGCAGTAAGAATTATATTTTTTAAGATAATAGGCTTCAATTTCCTTCTGTTTGTAATACTGTTATTCTTAGAGTCCTAGAATGAAAAAATAAAAAACTTCAATTAAATCCATGTAGCCGGGGCTGGAGATTTAGCTCAGCGGCATAAGCACCTGCCTTGCAAGCAGGCAGTCATGAGTTCGATCCCTGGTACCGATAAAAAGGAAAAAGACCAAAAAAAAAAAAAAAAACAAAAAAATCCATGTAGCCTTCTCCCCTGATAATGAAAAAAAAAAAATCTTTCACATTATGTTACCTAATGCTTTTTCAGGTTCCATGATAACCTCTGGAAGACTGTCCAGTTGTATAATAGACCTCACTTTGAAAGAATGTTCTCTAAGCTTTAATCCATCATTTCTCATTTTGCTATCCCTTAAAACATTTTTCTTGCTATTCATACCACGTACTTGAGTAAAAGCAGCACATTATCTGGTAGTTATAAGAAAATATATACCTCATTGATAATGAGGAACTGAGGTAAATATAGAAAAATGAGTCTTCTGGACCCTGAATTTTTCCTCTCTGAGCACCATATTTGGTTTTGTTTTAATAATGGTGATGGGGGACTAGGATAACTGAGTGGTAAACTGCTTGCCTAGTTGGTTCTTAGCTCCACACATACACATACACACACGTACACAAATTAAGTGATTTGTTTTTCCCCCAAATATATTAAATATTTCATTATATCCTGAAATGAATTGGACTTTTCTTAATAAGACAGCATAAATTATTATTAGTTTTCTTCAAATATATATTAAGTACTCCACTATCTGCTAAATATTTCAGGCATATAAAAATGAGAGCAATTTGTTTATTCCTGTTTGGCTTCAGTATTTAAGATTCAGTAGGGGTATAAAATAGTAATATAATTAATTATAAGCCAAGACAGAAGAAAGTAGTATAAACAAAAAGTCTTAGATAATAAGAAGTGGGAGAAATCAAATCCTATTAGAAATCAAGAATAGTTTTCTGAAGAGTAGTATTCGAAATAAGTGCTGTAGATGAAGGTAAATGTGTATCTCACACCTGACATGAGTAAATTCCAAATGGATTAGAGATTTAAGTGTAAAAATAGATATATAAATCAAATTTCTTCTTACTAGAAGAAAATATGGGCAGATTCTTTAATCTGAATATAGGGTCACCAGAGGCAATTTTCTTTTGAAAAGAAAAGCGAAGATTTTACTATGCATAAAAAACTTTTTAAAAAAAAGCTGGATGGAAAAACAACACCAACAAATTAAAAGACAATCAATTAACTTCACCACAAATTTTAAAATATTAAAAATCAAAGAGCAAAAAAATAAAGGGGCAAATTACCAAAACCAAATAGAAAAATTCTACATGTATATGGGGAGTAATTGTTCTTTAAGGAAAAAGACATAAAAATTGTCCTGAAATACAAAAGCAGTGCTCAAACTGATTTATATTCAGAGAAATATAAACTTTAAAACAACATAAAGATGCAGACCTTTCAGACTGACAAAAACTATAAAATATTTCAAGAATATTGAGATACACTATTGAAATATTGTTTATAATTTCAAAATATGAGAAATAACCTAAATATCTACCCACGAGAGTGTGATAACATGAACTATTATATACTGTACAAAGGCCAGGGATATATATACTTCAGTGGCACAGTGCCTGCCTGGCAAGTGCACCTGCCTTGAGTTTGATTCCCGATACCTCAGGGGGAAAAAAGTGAGTTTGATTCCCGATACCTCAGGGGGAAAAAAATGCTATTGTATATTTAGAAAGTAAAATAATACTCTCACCCTAATATCCTGCATCCTAATGGCTGGTAAAAGAGACTTTTGCAGTGTGATTAAAATGAAGGCCCTTGAAATGGGAAAATTATTTTAAGTACGCAGGTGGGTGATTCAGTTCCAGGGCATGAGGTCTTAAAAGCTGAGAACCTTTCAGAGATACTACATTGCTGGCTTTAAAGATAGATAAAAGAGCCACAAGTTTAAAAAAACAAGAAAATGCAAGAGATTTTCCCACAGATCCTTCAGAAAGGCAGATTTTTTGAAAATTTTAACCAGAAAAAATCCTTGTGGGATTTCTAACCTACAGAACTTTAATAAGTTTATACTGTTTTAGCCATCACATTTGTGCTAATTTGTTTTAGTAGCCGTAGAAAACTAATGCAGTGGCAGACTTCCAGGTTACTCTGTAATTTAGGTTGGTTTGCTATTTATATTAACTTCCTAGTTTTCACAATTATACTATGATTAAGTAAGATTAGGGGATTCTAGGCAAAAGAAAATTCTCTAAGTATTTTTCCCAATTTTTGTAAATATCCAATACAAATGGGGGGAAACTCCTGAAAAATATAAAAACAAAACAAAATGTGATTTTTAAAGAAGAAAAGTTGGGTACCTGGAATATTTACTTCTGTAGGCCATCTCAGCTTCTCATTATCAATAAGTGTGTTTTCTTATGACTAACGGAGATGTTGCTCATTTTATTTGAGTTTAAGTAGGAATAGTAATGAAGAAAATAAGAAATTTAAATTTGTTTCAAATTTGAAAGAAAAACATCAAAGATTTCTTCCCCTCACAGTATCTTTTCCCCACTTCATCCTATTAACATCTTTTCCCCCTGAAAAGTTGCTCTTCCTGTTATTTGTGAATTTCCAATCAGTCTTTTAACTCAGTAGTTCCCAGACTATATCTGCAAAAAGACTTGTTTGGCAGCTTTATTCTTAGAGGCCCAAAATTTGAAACAGCCCAGATGTACATCAGTTGCCAAATGGATAAATAAATTTTGGTATAGCTATACAGTGGAATTTTCTTAAAAACTAATATATGCAACAATGTATAGATTTCAGAAAAATTATGAAAAGCAAACTATATACTGCATAATTCCACTTGTATAACATTCTGTGAAACTAAAGCTACAGGAATAAATCACATTGTTGATTTTAGAAGCTCAAGGGAGCGATGATTTGACTATAGAGAAGCTTAAGGAAATGTAGGTATGATGGAAATGGTCTGTCTTTGCATTGTGGTAGTAGGCATTGATCAAAACTTACCAAATTCATTTTTTAAAATTCAACTTAAAATCTTATCAAGTTCATTTTTTAAAATTCAACTAAAAATTGTGAGTTTTATATCAATCAACATGTTTTAACATATTATAAGTTATATACATATTTCAGATTTGTTTTTATAATGTAACTATCAATTAGTTAATGTTGATTCAGTTTTTTATTACTGGGAACATGTTTATTGATTTCTGTGCTTTGTATATTCAAAAGTTTCACAGTTTTTGTTTTATTTTGTTTTGTTTTGTTTTTTGGTACGGGGGATCGAACTCATGACCTTGCATTTGCCAAGTAGGCACTTAATGCCACTGAGCTAAACCTCTGGCTTCATACTAAGTTTTACTTTGCTTACTAAAAAAAGAATCACACTGAATGCCTACTAAAAATGTAGATCACTGGTCTGGGGTGTACCACATGGTAGAACTTTTTGGGTATCATGTTCAAGGTCTTAGATTCATCCCCAGCATCACACAATAAAATAAACAACCAAAAAGTGTGTAAATCACTGATCCTAAGCCCAGAGATTCTTTGCTAGCTATAAGCTAGAAAAACAAGTATAATTTGTAATAAAAGCTTTTCTTTCTCTTTGATGCTTGAAGAGAAAAAAAAACCTAGGGGAGAAATTACTCATATAGGAGCTGTTCACATATAAAGCACTTTGTAACTTTTTGTTGTTTTGTTGCTAACTTGTTTGAACTTCAAATTATAAGATAAACTGAGTAAGATATGATGATTGGAAAAGTAGAGTGTAACATTTTCAGTTACCCTTTCCCTTTTTCTTAGCTAATTTTTTAGTTATGTTTATTAAACATCTAACAAATCCCTAAATTATACTAAGAATATGAAAGGGAATGATTTATTTTGCCAAAATCTTTCTTTTTAGGTAATTAGAATCCATAATAAAATATGTTACTAAAATATGCAAAATAGATGGATTAATATACTCACTAAAACTTGAAAAGCAAGAATAAAAACATTTCTTACCTGAGTCCTTTCTAGTTGACCAGATGGCATTTTCTTAGTGTGAGTTGTGTAATATTTTAAGGAGCTGCTATCCAAATGACCTCTGTCACTTAGAATTGCTGCACCATTACCTTTAATCCCTTGTATGATTGCTGATGTAAAAAAGTCACAAGCACATCCCTGTTTTTTCTTGTGAAGGCAATGACAAATTTCTCTGTCTCCACTTCTCCCTGTCTTAAGGGAACAGCAGCAGTGCCAGAATGCCAGCAAGTCAGTGTTTCTCATTGCCATCACCGAGGCTTTGAGAGTGGTTGCGTAGCAGCAGTTTTATTTCAGCTACTAACCTTGCTCAGATAGCCAAGTTCAGTCTTCCGGGGTTACTCTAATTTGCAGGCAGTGAACAACTTCCTTATCTTAAGATTCATCAAGCTCCAGAAAAAGGTAACATTTGACTTTCTTTCACTGACAGTTGCTAATTTTAAACCTTATTTTGTTGGAAAATAGTGAGTACTAACTAATTAAAGTCATATTAGTGTTATCAATTTTTGTGACAATGTATTTTTAAATGATGAGCTTTTTGCTGTTTTTAAGAATTATAATGGTGGCAATACCATTTCAAAAGAGGACTGAATAATGTGGGGGTCATTTTGAATGTTTTATTAGAATAATTTCAAATTAGGTTGGTGTTTGGAGAATGATTCAGTTTATAGTCTTTGTTTCTATTTATACTGTTGAATTTTTAAACAAATTTATAGAAATATCATTTATATTCTTCATATCTCTTTCTTATTGGCATCCATCCATAAATTTTTTAAATTTATTTTATTTTTTTAATTTTATTTTGAAAGTAGTAAAAATGCAACAGCACAAGACAGAACAAAGCCAGCTGAGACAATGCAGTGAAATTGCAGGATTTCACAGCAGGATACTGGGATAGTAGTAATAGGTACTATGGTATATCTCTTTAACTTCACAATAGTTGTGAAGTCAATTAGATATAGCAAAATCAAACCAAAAATACAACATTATAAAACCAATTGAGAATACTGACTAGAGCAAAAGAAACATAACAAAACAGTGAAAACACTGTTTTTTCTTTGCCTTCAAACAAGATAGAAGGAAATCCCCCATATTTGCTATACTGCATATGGTCATCCTTCCAAGAGCTGCTGAGACATCTATCCACAGTAGCTTTGGGGGGGGGCGGGGGAAGGGTGCTTGATTTTCAGCCTACCTGGCAATAGGCTCACAGGTAATGGTTCTCCTCCAGGCCCACGCCGCAGGCGCTTACCAAGAGGGCGGGTGAATAAGCTGCTTGAGTCCCACCATGTCCGGATCTCGGGAGTGCTGGTTCTTCTCCTGGCCCTTACTGCAGGTGCTTACCAAGAGGGCGGGTGAATAAGCTGCTTGAATCCCACCATGGCCAGATCTGCAGAGTTGTGGTTCTCCTCCTGGCCCATGCCACAGGCGCTTACCAAGAGGGCAGGTAAATAAGCTGCCTGAGTCCCACATTGGCTGGATCTCGGGAGTTTTGGTTCTCCTCCTGACCCTCACCGCAGGCGCTTACCAAGAGGGCCCATCCATAAAATTTTGCACTTCTTTTTTTTTTTATTCAGTGGCCACAGGATGTTACATATAAAAGTAATTTTAATAAACTCATTTTGATTTAATTATATAGATAGAAATCATATGAGCAAATTCTTGTGAGTCATATGTCTTACTGTGTTTTGGTTTTGGTTTTGGTTTTCGTTTTCATTTTTCGTTTTCGTTTTTGGCACTGTGAATTGAACTCAGGATCTTGCACTTGCCAGGCAGGCACTGTATTGCTGAGCTACGTCTCTGGCCCTGTCCTGGGTTTTGAGTTTGTTTGTTTAATTTTTCTTTATATTTTGAATACTGCATTTCTAATTTATAGGATTCTGTAAAGTTTATGCAGACAACATAGTATATATGGGAAAATAAGTTACAGTGCTTAGACTATTTTAAGAGGACTAAATCTTGGAGAATTAGTATAGCATAACGGTTAAAAAGCAAGAGTTCAGTAGTCATGCTTGAGTTTTCTGCCCTTTAGCAGCTGTGCAACCCTCCGAAAGTCTTATGCTTTCTCTGTGTCTTGAGATGGAATCAGCCATTGATAAAGAAAATGAGCTGTTATTTATTCATATTAAATCAGGACACATTTCTGTTTCATAGCTAAAAGTATTTCTCTCAGGAAAGAAAATGCTTATCTATGACTGCTTTAAATTGTCTTTTCTGGCGTTGTCAGTGTCCTTGCACTTGGCTTCTTCTCAGAGTAAGAGGCAAGGACCTTACGGTGGTCTACAGGATCTGCGCGTCATCGCTACCTTCATCATCGCCCCTTCCCTCACCTTGCTGTGTCCCTGACCTTACTTCCCACTATCCACTGGTCACTTCCTCTACTCCAGCCACACTGACTTATTAGCTTTCCTTGAGCTTAGTAGGCATGTGTTAGCTGGAGATCATTTGCTCAGCCTGTTCTGTTGCCTAAAATGCTTTCCCTCTAATATCTTCAGGCTTAATCCCTTTCTTCAAGTTTTTACGCTAATGTAATTCTTTTCTGTGAGGCCTACCCTGTTTGTTGAGTATCATTAACCCCGTGACATGGCTCTTGTCTTGTATTTATTTATTATCTGTCTCCCACTAGTATGTAAACTTAATGAAGGCAAGGATTTTTGTTGTATTTACTGAGTGGTGTAAAATACTTCAACTGTATGACAAACAATAGATGTTCAGGAAATGTTTAACATATTAGCAATAAACTGGGCTTAAATCTTTATTCGATATCTGATAACTGTGTTAACTAAAGCAAGTTACTGAATACCTATTTCATGAAGTTGTTTCATAGATTAAATGATGTTACATATTTGAAAGCATTCTGTAAGCCTGGGGATTTAGCTCAGTGGCATAAGTGCCTGCCTGGCAAGCACAAGGTTGAGAGTTCAATCCCTGGTACCAAGAAAGAAAAAAATTAATTAAAAAAAAAAAAAAAAAAAAAAGCATCTCTAGCCCGTGCTGATTACAAAAAGTCTTCAGTAAATTCATTCATTCAACAAATATTCACTGAGCATTCTGACATACCAAGTATCACTGTATGCACTGGGTAACATATCGCTGAATAGAACTGCTACAAATCTCTGCTATTATCGAAGTTATTTACAGTTGTATTCCCTCCCTTTCATTAAATTGATTGTAAATACTAGTAAATGTATCCATATTTCATTATTTAAAAAGCACCCTTATAGCATGCACAAAGCCATCAGTTTGATCCCCATCACTACCAAAAAATAAAGATTTTTGTATTCAGTTATCTTATTTTTGAAGTTAGTCTGAGAAGAGAATTTTTAAATTTTTCACTGGTGATAATCTGAAACTTGGAAGTTATGAGTAGTCCAGGGTCTTTTTTTGTGGGGGGAAGGTACCAGGGAAGGTATCAAGAATTAAACTCAGGACCTTGTACTTGCTAGGCAGGTGCTCATGCCACTGAGCTAAATCCCTGGCTCCAGAGTCATTTACTAGTGAGAACTGGAGCCAGGTTTTCAAACCAAGTTTTCTGAATCAGAGCTTGTTGATGTTCCCACAATGGCACTTATACAGCACAATTGCCACAATAATTTTAATTCTTTTTATTACTTATTTTATTTCTGAAAACATTTATTGAGTCTACTGAATGCCAGATACCAGAGCTTCCTAGAGATAAAAAGATGGTTTAATCCTTACATTAAGGGAATGGAGAGAATGATAACATGTCAGAAGACATGCTGTGAGCTAAATGTAAGGCTAGCTCTATTTATAGATACAGTACTTGAAAGCACGTAGGAACGGTGTCTGATCTGGAGCAGGGTCAGAGCATGTCAAAAAAGAACCCCTAAAGAGCTGTGCATGTAGCTCTGGAGTAGAGTGCTTGCCTCTGGTAGCCTGGACAAGGACCTGGGTTTGATTCCGGAATCACCACCCACCCCCACCACCAGAAAAAAAAGTGCCCTAAATGAGATGATCCCTAAACTAAATCTGAAAGGATGATTTGGAGAGAATATGAATAGTAGCAGAGGTAAATATGGAGAACTAGTGGCTTTTGGAGTTTTAACATAAGCAAGGAATGTACAAAGATTAGGGTACAATAGTAATTGCTAGATTTCTATAGACATAACTCCTACCACGAACACACTTAAAATGTTTTTACTAACATTTAAGTCACTTTTCTACTTCTGGTCAGATGTAGCCAGGGCCAGAGTATTACATGGTGCATAGCATAGTAACTTGTACATAAAGAGTTGCTCAGAAGGGGGCAATTAGCAATTAAGCATAGCCTATACTCAGATTTTCCCAATCAAATAGTTTTGCAGGAAGATTCAGTGCATAGTTAGTCTAGGACAGAGAAATAGTTAGAAGATAAACCAAAGATAGTGAATTTTTGATGTCTGCTTTCCATTACTGGGGCAAAATATGTTACATTTATAATTTAAAGAAGGCAGAGTTTATTTTGTCTGCTGGTTTTAGGGGTTTCAGTCCACAATCGGTTGGTTCCAATGCTTTTATGGCTGTGATGAGGCAGAAATATCACGGTGGCAGGCATGGTGGAAGGTAGCTGCATACCTTATGGTAGTCGGGAAGCAGATTAAGCAAGGAAGAACATAAAAGAGCCAGAGATCACATACAGTCCCCAAGGCCACACATCATGACCTACCACTTCTATGTAGGTCCAGTAGCCCATTCACTTAGTACCCAGTAACCTCTCATTAAAGAGAGATTAATACCTTCTCAACCCAGTCACCTCTCTGGGGATCCCTTACTCTAATGAAGTTGACAATCAAAATTAACTGTCATTTTGGTGGTATCAGTATATGTAGTTATGTGGCCTTCCTAAACACCATGTTGATGGGACCAGAAAAAGGAATCCATTAACCCAATTTTGATTTTTGATTTTGAATAGCTGTTCATTAAGAAAACGGGAGAGTGCTAGGCATGGTGATACATACCTGTAATCCCAGCACTCCAATATGCTGAAGTAGGGGATTGCAAGTTCAAATCCAGGCTGGAAATTTTAGTAAGACCCTATCTCAAGAAAAGTCTGGAATGCATAAAGGCCCTAGGTTCAATCCCCAGTATGGAACAAAAGGAGAGAAGGGGAGGGTAGAGGGGAGTGTTAGGAACTGAATAACTTCAAGATAGGCAATGGAATCCAAGTTGGCTAGAAAAGGAAAAGAGAATGAAAAGATAAAAAGAGACAGGAAACAAGGTGGTCAGT